CCCCCAAAAAATCACCCTGGTCATTTTTATTTTTTTTTGCGCGGAAATAGCCCCACGCCGTCCCCTGCCCTCGCGCAACCCTGTGACGCACGCGCGCTTATTTTTTGACGAGCGTGCGGGCCTAAAAACGCTTTGAGCGCGTTTGAGCACGGCGCAGGGGTCTTTAAGCGCACGCTTGAGCGGGCGCCCACGCTTAAGCGCGCTTATACGGTTTCACAGGGAGGGCGGACGTCCGATGGGTGCTTCAACCAAGCTCTCCTGACCGCTTCCGAAAATTATGGTTTTTACTTCCTTTTCAAAAAGGACCTGGTAAAAAAACACAGCCATACATCCTCAGCTCTGCAGAGGTCCCATTCCCTCGTAAGGATCATTTATGTCAAGAGTATCCAATCATCTTTCCCCATAGCCAATGCCACCTTATATATCCACGAGCGCAATTGAGCTTGAGTTTTCCTAGCAGGACCAGTCAAGCCCAGACCACCCTGTTCACTTGGGAAAGTTAACAGATCCCACACCAATTTTGTTGATAAAACCTTCTCTGATACTTGCCCGGGGCTTCCAAAGGAACCGGCCTATCAACCTGCAGATTTCCGATAAGGCTGTTGGACCAATCTCCCTCACCATAGGGACAACAGGGCTACATTAACCACTATCGCTCGATCAAAGAGAGACAAATGTCTTGCTGGTCCTCATACCAAGAGTCTTGCCGCAATCCTTTGCTGAAGGACTGTGCCCTGAACTGAACTCGTCACCTGCAAGTTAATCATGATTCCCAGAAACCGTTCTCCAAAATTCAGCGCTACCTATTGCATGCCCCATTCCACTTGTAGCGAGCACTGCTTTGGTAAGATAGATGTGGATTTGTTTTAGTTTACGAGCACTTATGAGAGTTGAGAATATTCCATTAAAACCGATCTAACAACATCTAAGGACTCTCTTGTGTTGGTTGAGATTACAAATAAGTCATCAGCCAAAGCCTTAACGCGACACTCCTTGACAACTGAGATCTTGAGGCCTCTAATGTTGAGGTGATGCTTGATCCGGTTCAAGGGAATCTCCAATTGGAGAACGAAGAGGAGAGGGGCCAGAGGGCAGCCTTGTCGCAGAGATCGAGAGAAATGAAAAGGCTGGGACATATGACCATTGACCATTACATCTGATGTTGACAGTGTATATAGAGATATCACCCAACGGACGAACCCCTCTCCAAAGCCTAGCTTCCTCAAGGTCGTGAGCACAAAGGACCAACCCACACGGTCGTATGCCTTCTCTAAGTCTAGGAGGAGTGCTGCACAGTTCAGGTCTAGAGCATTAATCACTTTCAGAGATTTAATCGTTGTGAAGATATAACAAAGATAGGAGACCTACCCTGTACAAAAGCTCCCTGGTCCTTTTCGACTAATCTAGACAAACACCGGTCCAGTCTGATCGCTAGCGTTTTAGCCAAGATCTTATAGTCTACATTCAGAACAAAAATTGGGCGATAGTTCCGCACATTGGCTTTGTCACGTTTTTTGAACTTGAACGAAATGACCCCATGGGTGGAGAAAAGGTTAACCGCCCCCCCATTTTTCCCCAGCATACCGCTTGTGAACACGTCGTTATACACTTCTACCAATGCTGGACCTATATCATCCCATCATGTCCTGTAAAACTCTATAGATAACCCATCGACTCCAGGGCACTTCCCCAATGCCATTTGCTTGAGGGTCAGTTGTAGTTCTTCCGTGGTCAACGGTCTATCAAGGTTCAATCTTGCCGCTACAGTAAGCCTCACCTGATTGTCCTACCACATGTCTAACTCCTCGGATAGATCGGTGTCTACTGCGTCCAAGCACCTCCTGGTTGTTAGGATATCTGAATGGTATAGTCTCGTATGTTCTAGCCTCCCATCAGCCATGGCCAACGACGGTACCGTGGCATCGAAAGGATGAGCTAGTTCCACCACCTGGTGAAAGGATGAGCTAGGGAGAAGCTTCTTGAAATTGACTTTAAGTTAGTCAATTTTTCCTATACCGCAATGCCCTTCATCTTTAATGCATCTTCCCATCTGGCCTGCTTGTCTAATTGCACCCTTTCCCAATTCGCTAGCCTCCTTTCTCTTTCCGCCGCCCATAAAAGCTCGGAGATTGGATGAGCTTCCATCCTCCGCTCCGCTTCTTCAACTGCCCTCCTACAAGCCTCTTCTTCTTTGTTGCGTTCCCGTGCCAGAATGCTTGAACATACATCCATCATCCCCGAAATGATGGTGATTCCACTATCCAACCAGTCTGCCGAGGTAGAAAAGAACTTCAGCGCCGATTGCCAGTCCTCCATAAATTCGCTCACCCAGGTTTGGATTCCCGGGTCTTCCAAGGTCTGGCTATTCAATTTGAAATTGCCTCTTCCTCTTTTCACTTCTGACTCAAAGAGGACCTCAACCACTAACGGTTTGTGGTCTGACATTGGGTGACCTAACTGCCTAACCGTCGTGATTGCTTGTTCTTTCCCCTGACCTACCAAAGCGTAATCAAGGCGTTGCCTTTTGACAGTGCTTGTTTCTCTTCTGATATTTGAGTACCAGGTATGGCCGGGGTCATCAGGATTCAACCAGTGGAAGACATCCAAGAAAGCGCCCTCCTGGATCAAGGTCATCACGTGCTTCGAATCTGAGCAACCGGCCGAGCGCGATCCTTTCATCAAGGCCTCGTCTAGCGACTGGTTCAAGTCTCCAATCATGATCAGACTGTCACTTTGAGGGATGCATGGTTGTAATTCTCTCAAGAAGGTTGTCCTGGCCGAGGGGTTAGCTGGAGTATACACCGTCACGAGAAACCAGTCCTCACTGCCCGTTCTCAATTTGAAATAAGCCCATCGTCCCCATAGATCTGCCTCTACATCAATTACCTGGGGCTGCAGGTTACGATGTAGTAGAATCCCAACACCACCTTTTGTGCCTTGAGCTGGTAACCATTCTCGTGGGCCATCCCACCAGGGACTGATCTCTTTTAGCTTCGCTTCATCAAGCTTTGATTCCTGTATACACAGGCAGTCATTTTTTTCCTCGTATATCCATATCTTGATCCTCCTGCACTTATCCCGACCTGATGTGTCAGCGAGCTCCCTCTTGTTCCAAGAGTCAATCTTCAGCTTAACCATTGGTCGCTTCGACGTTCGCGTGAGTATGGATGCGGGGGGAAGGTTGAGGTTCTGAGCCCCAAGTGTGTTGCTGCTCAGTCGGGGAGTGGTGCATTGACGACCGAGAGGAGCATCTTGAATGTTCCGACTGCGAAGGAGACCGCCATGGTTCTGTGATTGCATCCAACAAAAATTTTGAAGAGAAATTTCGATCCTCGATCAACTTCTCATTGACTTCAAGCAAAATCAGCGCCGGTACTTCCGAGGTGATTGCTATCTCATCCAGATCTGAGTTCTACTGCTCTTGCACTGCCTCTACCTGAAACCACCTAGTCCCCGCCTGGGTCAGGCCATCGGCGATTGAAGGATCAATCCTTGCGTCCACCATAGGAAAGTACAACTTGTAAATAACAGACTTGAGAGAGACGATAATATTAATCATCGTTGACCGAAGGATGACCCGAATAGGGAAAAAGTCTCCAAA